GGGGGGGGGCGGGTGGCGGGAGGACGCGGGGACCAGCCAACCAGCGCGCCGCTGCGGCCCGTGCCGCCGGCTCGGCCCCTCCTCTCCCCGCCCCCTCCTCCTCATCCCCCACTCCGCCTTCCTCCCTCCTTCCTCTACCCTCCCCGTTTCTCCTCTCGCCCTTATCTTCACTCCCTTTTCTTCCCCTCCCACATTAAGGCACACCCCCTCATCTTCCCTTTGAGTCCAGCCGCCTTGGGGACAGGGCCAAGCAGCCTGTCTCCAAGTGCCCTCTGGACAGGTGCTCATAGCGAGCCACACCCTCTGGCTGCAAAGCTGGTCACCTTCCCATGTGACCAGATTCCCATAGCGACCCCCTCTGGCCACAGGGCTGGTCACCTCCCCCCGGGTGGACAGTTGCCAGTTGGGACTCCTTTGCCGCAGGTGGATACTCCATCATCAGCAAGCACCTGGCTGGCATGGGGCCACAAGCTACTTGTGGTCTTGACCTAAACCCAAGCACCACTTAACGCTAGGAGAATCCCCCTGGGTTGCTGCTCTCCCTGCTGTGAGTGCCGTTCTCATGAATTTCAGCACGAGGTGGGAGGGAAAAGTTTCTTCCCCATGTGCCTCCTTCCCCTAAGTTTTCTGTACATCCTCGAGAGTGAAAGCTCTTTCCAGCTGCACCCAGAGCTGAAATGGCAATTTTATTTCTGTCCTTGATGTAGCCAGAGTGAGGATTACCCAGCCACCAGTTATTTGCTGGTTGCAGCACTGTTCTGGTCCCCACCCCCCTTGTTAATTGCCACAGGGAGTGTGGGAAGAAAGGGAGGGATTGCAGACAGCTCTTGACCTGCAGGTCACAGCGGGGGCTGCCTTTGCAGCTCCCCAGCTCTCTCGGGGGGCGGGAACAAGTTTTGGGAGGGCGGTGATGCTGAGTGGCTCTCAGCGCCTGTTGCTTTTGGAAGCTGGTGTCGAAACCAGACAGAGAATGCACTTATTGTTTCGTTCTAAGAAAATTCCAAGCCACTGCTTTTCATCTGTTGAATGTCTGGGGCTTGCTTACTGAGACAGTGGCTGGAACACACAGGCTCCCCCATCCCTGCCGGTCCGCCCAGGCTCGGCTGACCACGGCCACGGCCAATGGTCTTTGCTTTTCCTTCCCTGGCCATCTGGCCTCCACCTGGTGGAGAGTCACTGGCTTTCCAGACTCCTCCCAGCTGCCTGGAGGGTTGGCCAGCCTGGAGCCCTGGGGAGCGTGGGGTCATCATCTTTAGGTCAAGTGGTCCTCCTCAGCCTTTGGACGGTCCAGCACGTGTCGCTTCACGTCCCCTGCCTGCTCTGGGGTGGGGGTGGGGGTGGGGGGCCGATTGGTTTTGCTTTTAGGTCCAGCGCAGTGACGGGACCACGTCAGAACCTGGGCACCACGAGATTTGCTTTACACGTGGCTGGAGGCAAGAAGAGGCACCAGGAGGCCTTTGGGGTGGAGGGTCAACCCTGCTGGGTGGGCACATTTGGCCACTTGACTCACAGTTGTGAAAATGTATCCCCAGAAAATTGGAAGGAGCACTGTCATTACAGCTCAATTTTGTTGTCGAACGTTCCGACGTTCTTTGGGCTCATCTGGTGACCAATCTGCAGAGCTATTGTGCTGCCGGGCGTGGAAACCTCACCGCCCGGCAGATGGCTCATTAGCTTGGTACTTGTTTATTCGCCGTGTCTTGTTGTCTTGTTGTCATCTGACCTTGCTCTCTCAGACCATCTCCTTCCAGCACCCAAACACCGAGTGCAGCTCTTCAGGGCCGTTTACCACCGATCAGAGGGTGAGTTTCTGTGATGGTGCATTCCGTACCACTGTGTGTTGGGGGTGGCCCTTACGCTGTCTGGCTCATTCTGCATTCAGAATAATAATCGCCCCATAAGTATTTGACCAGCTAGGCTGCTGTCCAGTGACTCCATCCCTAGGCCAGCAGACCCTGCCTCTACCCCGCCCCCAGGAGCCGAGGTTCCAGCCTTCATCAGCGCCGCCCTTGCTGTGTGTCGGTGCTGTTCTAGGCCCTGGGGAATTAAGTGGAGAATAAACAGAAATCCCTGGTTGGGAGGAGCCGGCATTTTAGTGGGAAACAGATGAGATGGTGTAAATAAATGCAACGTGTAGCATGTTGGATAATAATTAGTGCAAAGGAGAAAAGTCACGTGGGGAAAGGGCTGCGCCATGGAGTGTGCAGAGCTGACATCGGCGGGGTGGCTGGGCAGGAACACACAGGGGTAGAGAGGGAGCAGGGGGCCCGTGTCCATCGGAGGAAAGAGCCTTCCAGCAACGGGAGCAGACTCAGGCCGAGGCCCCTCCCACAGGAGAGGAGGGCGGGGGTGGTAGGGGGGTGGGGGGGGCTGCCTGCAGGGGCTGTGGGTCAGAGAGGTGAGGGGTGGCAGGGCCGTACCAGGGACGTGGTTCCACTCTTTCAGATGGAGCCGCGCAGAAGGCTGAGCAGAGGAGACACGCGACCCCCTCGGGTCCAGCCGCTGCTGGGTGGGGACGCCCTAACGGGAGGGGTGGCGGGAGTCCAGGAGGAGCTGCCCCCATAATCTTTGCGAAGAACGACAGTGGTTTGGGCTACTGCGGCGAGGAGTGGCTGGATTCTGCACCTGATTTGGAGACTGTTTGGCTCTTTCATGAAGGCTCGGTGACATTATTTCTGTGTTTTGCTCCCCTTCCCTTCCGCAGACTGGGGTTCTGCCTAACTTTGTGCCCCTCCATCCTGGACGGCCCCTGGGGTTAGGCTCCAGCAGCCACCCCTCCCCTCTGCCTGCACCACATCAGCCCAGAGGCTCCTTGGCGTCCTTGACCTGCATTCCTGATCCCGGCTTGGCCACCAGAATTGCAGCCAGCGTAAGTTCCCAGAGCCAAGATACAGCGGAAGGAAACCGCCGGCCTCTGCCAGGAGGGCTGCGCCTGGATGACGAGCCAGGGTGGGGCAGGAGGCCTGGGGCCTTGTGGCAACTTGGCCACTGAGCTCAGAGCCCTGAGGGGGTCCAGGGGGCGAAGTTTCCAGCTGTCTGGGGTGTCGGGGTGTGAAACCCTGCCTGAATCTCGCAGGGACGGGGCGGAGGTGGAGGAGCCCAGGGAAGTGCACAGCCAGCCCCCTGGGGGCTTTGGCCTCTGTCTTCAGCCTCCATGTGGGCTGAAACTTCTCCTGGTGCCATCCGGCCTGCACACGGGCTCATCCCCGCATGCAGAGCTCACCCTTTAATTGCCATAAAGACCTCATCAAGGAAGAATTTCAAATTAAGAAATCAGAGCCAAACTGCAGAACAGAAGGGCCGAGACCGTGGCCTGCGGAGCTGGATGCTGGTTCCCGGGTCCCACACCGGCTCTTCATCCCTGGCAAGAAGGGGCAAAGCCGCAATGAGGAAGAAGGGAAGGGTCTGCCCTGTGCCCCCAGGGTGGGCGGGGCCTCCAGCGAGGATGCAGAGACGGAGAAGGAAGCTTAGAGTACTCAGGAAGGGTCCAGAGGGTGTCTCTGTCGGTGGGAGGAGGCGTCCGTCTAGAGTGGCCGGGCCACGCCAGGTGGAGCATCTATTCCTCCCCGCCCCCCCCCCCCCCGGCCGGCACCCACAGAGGTCACAGCTGAGGCAGTCCTCGTGCCAGTACTGGTCGATGGCCTTCAGAAAGTAGCGGTCCCCGATGTTCTGCTGGCAGCCTCCACATGTCAGCAGGGATGGGGGGATCTGCAGCACCTCATCCACTGGCTCCCTGGAAAGAAGGCCAAGCATTAGGGATGACCTCACCTTGGGGAGACAAGCACAGGAGAGGGGTCAGGAGTCATGCTGTGCCCAACAGGAAACCTCATTCAATTGCCTGTAGGTGACATAGAAGAAAGGAGGGGACAGCATATACCTAGGGCAGACCCGGCCTGCAGCGCCCCCGGACGGGGTGGGCCAGTGGGTCTGCAGGCAGCTGCCGATCCAGCCCCGAGGGCATCCTCTACCTAGTCTGTCTTGGGTCTAACTGGTGTTTTTAATGACTCTCGTCTGAAAATAATCCAGTTGCTTCCTGTGCTAATTCTTTCGACCTGGGGGGTGGGGGCATACCATAAAATGAATTTCTCGAACAAGCAAAATGTATTAGCGCCTACTGTATACAAGGCACCGAGCAGGCCTTGTTAAAGGGGATTGGAGTAGTTAAAGGGGGTCTGGAAACACCATGGGAGAGGATTAACATTAACAAACTGGTCAGAGGTAAGATGCTTTATGTTCTGAAAGCTTTACCATCGGCCTCTTGGAGAAATCAGCCTGCTTTGTGCATTTATAACAAACCGAACACCCCGTAAACTGCTCTAACCTTCTGGGAAAACCATCTGCCAGGAGGCACCAAGAATGAGAGGAAGGGTGTGCCCTTTGGCCCATCTGCCCCAAGCTTTCGTGCAATGGCAGTCAGTTTTAGTGGTACAATATTTGATTTATACACACATCAACTTACTTCTTTTTATGGCTTTGGTAATTACAAAATTATTACTAGTTGTAAATATTTCAAACAACGCAGAAAAAAGGGACAGTCCCATCCAGGTCAGAAGGTGGAGACCCACCCCTTCTTAGTGGTCATCCAAGGGGGTCACGGAGATACATGTGCTCTTACCTGTTCTTACCTATTTATCAGGTTCCCTATATGCTGGGCATTGAGATTTTCCTCATCACTGATTTCTACCGGCTCCTTTTATATTGTACAAAGGATAGTAACCCTTTGACTATCGTATATTTTACAAATATATTCTACAAGTCAGTGGCTTATCTTTTAACTTCATTCGCGGTATCTTCATAACGTGGCCTTACACATTGAAGTAATCAAAACTCTTCCTCTTGTCAGCTTTCTGGATTCCTTGTTGGCTTAGAAAGGAGATGTCATTTATAATAGAAAAATTT